CCGCGCCTGCCCGCGAAGCCGCCGCCACCGCCGCACACCCCGCCCAGCGCTCCGGGGAGCGGCTCCGACGAGGCCCTAGTGCCCGCCTATCCTAGTTGCGCGGCGCCGCACTCGCCCCGCCGCCGAGCTCCTAGCCCTCCCAACTGCCCCGCGCCGCCCCGCCCACTGCCCCGCCCCCGCCCAGGAGAGCGAGCAAGTGAGCGGGGAAGTCCGGCCCAGCCCCACCCCGCGCGTGGGCCGGGCGGGGTGTGGGCCGCGCTGCACTCCGCCCCGCCTCCCCGCGGTCCTAGAGGCACCGCGTGAGCCGAGCGAGGCGCGGGTCCTGGGTAAATCCCGCAGGGGGCCGACTGCAGCCCATCTCTGCTGCCGAAACCGAAAAGCAGGGCGCTTATCTGGGTGATTCATAGTAGGGTGGGGGAAACCCGCTTCTGTAAGGATAGCCCGGGTAATGCACCCTCCAGAGCACTGTCCAAAATGTAAGGGTTTTTTTTGTTTGTTTGTTTGTTTTAAAAAACATATATTGGGTATTTACCTGGGTCAAACCAAAAAAACCCCAAACCCGTTACCGTCGGCCCATAACTCAGAGAAAGACAAATCAAATAAAAATGAAAGAGGCAAAGGAGAAATTCTAGCTATGTGTAGCTCTTTGAACTAAGAGTAAAGACACAGGGGAGGGAGGGCCTGCCTTTCTGCCTCCTATTGGCCTTGAATTTAGATATGTTTATAAATATAGTATCTAATTATATTTGTTCTAGACAACAGGAACTGCAAAAAAGGAAAGATCTCAACCCAGCAGCCAGCATGATACAGTAAGTTCAGCAAGTGAGAAAAATGTCCTGTGAGAAACAGTGTTATCTAGTGGGATATTTCCTATTTTCTATTTTTACAAAATTCATACTTGCACACTGGTTTTCGTGCCAGGCAGCTCGGCTTTACTTCTTCCTATTTGAGAAAGTAGTTCAAATGACTAGAATAACTTTATTATATTAGGAGGGTGGTGATATTTTTCAGTTGGTGAACTGTAGAGATAGGGGTGCTTTCCTGGGGGATTCCCCCATTTCGGTGGGGCAGAAGGCCGAAATTCAGACAAAGCTCTAAAATCAGATATTCCTTACATCACGGATTAAAAGTATGCAAAAAAGCCAATAAAGCAGTCAAACCACGTTTAGGTGAAAAAATACACTTGTTACACAAATGCAGTTTCCATAGTGATTTCTATTATAAGCTTGTTTGGGGGAATATTTTTCAGCTTGAATATAGCCAAGTCCCATAGTAACCAGCCTGGTTCTCCAGGTGCCTGCCTCCATGAAAGCTGGGGCCTTCCCTCTGCTCTGACACCCAAGCCAGTGCTTCGGTAGGGCTCTGTTCCGGAGGGGTAACTAAGACATGGCAGGTAGGGCCCATGACTGGGTGCCGCTTCAGGAGAGGCACAAATGAGCAGTTTCTATAGCCCGCTGCTGTTTCCATCGCCAACGGTGAGAGATCGTTCACCAATTTAAAACTAATTGCCGTAGGCTCTATTTTCCTGCTAGGCCCCTGATTACCCTTCTGAATTCTTCACTGTGTTCCACCCCCTGTTTGTACAAGGACTACTGCATCTTAGATCATAGGGGCCTGCCTGGGCCTCTCGGACTGTTACCATGCCCCTGGACCCTGTTTGTCTTGCCCGTCTTGATAAATGTCCATGGTCATCCCATCCATCCCACTTGCTGTTCTGTTCCAGGAAAAACAAACAAACTTGCTGTCAACTCGACTCCAACTCATGGCAAACCCACGTGTGTTGGGGTAGAACTGCACTCCACAGGGTTTTTAATGGCTGATTTTTTGGAAGCAGATCACCAGGCCTTTCTTCCAAGGAGCCTCTAAACCTGTTGCCATCGAGTGGATTCCAACTTACAGCAACCCTGTAGGACAGAGTAGAACTGCCCCATAGGGTTTCCAAGTCTGTAATCTTTACAGGAGCACATCTTTCTCCCCTGGAGTGACTGGTAGGTTCAAACAACTGACCTTTTGGTTAGCAACCAAGTGCTTAACCACTTTGCCACCAGGGCTCCTATAAAGTGCCTCTGGATGGGTTCAAACCACCAGCCTTTCAGGTTAGCAGCCAAGCATGTTAACCGTTTTAACCATGTGCACCACCCAGAGACTCCTTCTATTCCAGGGAGCAGATCTAATGTGCCAGAGGCTGAGCCCCGCCTCCATCTACGCTGCCCACCAACGTGCTTCTTGTTGCCTATGAATCCTAAAATATGACAAGAATGGAGGCCTCCTTCCTCCAACTTGACACATAAGTTTATATGAAAACAGGCCTTTTTAAAATGAATTTCTGATAGAATCATCTGGAGGCATGTCTAGTAGATGTTACAGCCATCTAAATGTGTAGGTGATGTCATAGACCCTGATTGCAGAATCTCACAATGCTGTCTCCCAGCCTAAGGTTGAGTGGAGACGCACAGAGAGATCTTACTATTTGCTAGGTGCTGTACAGGGTGTTTTTCACTATCTGTAATGCAGTTGAGGACAAGATTTGGCTGAAACTCCACACTTTTGCAAGCACAGCCTTGTTGTTCTTAAGTGCCGTCGAGCTGATTTTGACTCATAGTGACCCCATGTGATAGAGTAGAACTGCCCCATAGGGTTTTCTAGGCTGTAATCTATACTAATCCATAACGTTTCCCCTGGCTAATTCTTTTTGCAGAAGTAGATCGCCAGGTCCTTCTTCCTAGTCTGTCTTAGTCTGGAAGCTCCAGTGAAACCTGTCCACTATGGGTGACACCTGCTGGTATTTGAAATACTGGTGGCATAGCTTCCAGCATCACAGCAACACACCATCCACCACAGTACAACACACTGACCCTCAATGAGATGAATTGACACAGTGGCTGCAACAACGGGCTCAAATATAGCGATGAAATGATTCCGAGGATGGTGCAGGACCGGGCAGCATTTTGTTCTGTTGTATATAGGGTCGCTATGTGTCAGAACCAACTCAACGGCACCTAACAACAACAACAATCTATACTGAAGCACATCACCAGGTCTTTCTCCTGCAGAGCCACTGGGTGGGTTCAAACCGCCAACCTTTTGGTTAGCAGCCAAGCGCTTAACAATCTGCGCCACCAGGGGTCCTTAATCTGGGCCTGGAACACAGGGTTGGTTTTTGTTTGTTTACATTTGGCAGACAATTTCTTTTTTTAATTTTATTATGCTTTAGAAACTAAGAAGCATGTTCCTCATGCGTGTTAATTGTTTGTTTTATAGATCTGTCTAATCTTTGGCTGAATTGTGGACTTCAGGAGTGGCTTCCGTTCTGAGTTAACGGGGTATCCGGGGGCCGTAGTCTCAGGGACTCCACCAGTCTCTGTCAGTCTGGTCTGGTCTTTTTTGTGAATTTGGATTTTGTTGTACATTTTTCTCCTGCTCTGTCCAGGACCCTCTATTGTGATCCCGGTCAGAGTGAACGGAGGAACACAGTTTTTACCTGTAGCTCTATCAGCTTTACAAAGAGCCCCCTTTTGCCTAGGGCAGATGAGTTTGTGTATAGGACTGACTCCAGCAAGCCTGCCTGAATGTGTAAACTACAAAGTATGCCAGATGCTTCAGGGGCCGAGCACGTGAACAAATGAGAGCTAAACTTAATCTGGGTGGTCAGCCCAGTGTATTTAACAAGTTTTATGTTAATACCTTTACAAAATCATGCACTTCCCAGTTCTTCATAAACCTCTTCTTATTTTCCATTACTTCTTGTCTCCAGCTTGCCACAGGCCACTTCATACATTTCTGCCACCTCTATTTTCCCTAAGATAAATGAGAGACATTTTGCCTGTGATGATGGTGGAAGGGGGTACAAGGGGGATGGAAAGCATCCAAAAAAGAGCCCTAGTGGCGCAACAGTTAAGCGCTAGGCTGCTAATCAAAACATCTGCAGTTCAAACCCACTGGCAGCTCAGTAGGAGAAAGACCTGGCAATCTGCTCCCTGAAAAATCACAGCCTAGGAAACCCTGTGGAGCAGTACTACTCTGTCACATGGGGTCACCATGAGTCGGAATTGATTCTACAGCACCTATCAACAACAGAAGGCATTCATGATGGGTTAGTACTTCTTGAGGCCTTATCTGTGCCACTAAGCACTTTATGTGTAATAACTCCTGACTCCTGAAATAACCCAAGGAAGTAGGTACTATTATTATCCCCAAGTTACAGATGAGGAAACCAAGGCACAGAGAGAACATTTCCAAGCTTGCACAATTAGCAAGTGATGGGACAAGGATTCAAACCCGGCTCCAGAGGCTATCCTTGTATCGACTCTACTATAGCCGCTCTTGCAAAAGTACCTCATTTTAATACTGGCAGGGTACACAGTTGAAGGAGCCCTGGTAGGACAATGGTTAAGTGCTCGGCTGCTAACTGAAAGGTTGTTGGTTTGAACCCACACAGCAGCTTCTCAGGAAAAAGACTTGTTAATCTACTTCTGTAAAGATTACATCCAAGAAAACCCCAAGGGCAGTTCTACTCTGTCACACTGGGTCACTGTGAACTAGAACCAACTTGACGGCACCCGGCAGGGTGGGGTTGAGAGGTACTGACTCCTTTGGGACCCAGTGGAGACTTTAGACACAAAATATACTCAAATAGATATTTATACGTCTCACTTTCCTCATCTGGAAAATAAGGATGATGATTCTACCTCTATCAGAGGGTTGCTATGAGAATAAAAATAGAGGATGAAATATGGAGACACGTTTAGAATAGTACCCAGCACAGTGTGGAGAGCTTTAAATGGACATCCAAATTCAAAATTTTAAAATTCAGGGTGGGCAAATACGGCCCTCATTCTGCCAGTTTACTTCCTCAG